TCACCCGGGCCTCTGCCCTCCGCCCGGGACGACGGCGGACCGGGCGCCCGCGGGCCAGGGCTGCATGGGGCTCCCGCGCGGCCACCTCTTCTGGCTTCTGCTCCTGCTCGCGGCTGCCTGCTCGGGGATCCTCTTCACTCTGTACTCCTCGGCAGTGGGGCCGTACCCGGGGCCCCGGTCCGGAGCCAGGTAGGGGCTGCGGCGCGGTCCGACCGGGGGGTGGCTCAGGAGACGCGCAGGGGACGCGCGGGGCGCCCAGCCCGGGCCCTCCGTCCACCCGCCGCGTTGGCCTCGCTGGGGTGGCTCGCAGCGGGGACTCGGGCCGCGGCCTTTTGTCCCCAGAGCCTCCACCCGGGCGACCAACCTGCGCTGCCCGGGCCACAGCCTCTGCCGGGGTCCGAGAGGGACCTCGCCCCTTGCGCACCGGCCACTCGCTCCCCAAAGCCTTGTGGGTTCATTCCCTCCAGCCGTGATTCGAAACACTTTTTCTATTGTCCAGATTTGGCTGGGTCGTCTGAGTCAGATAAAAAACAGCCCCGTTTTTGTCAGGAAGGCTCCCTCCCTAACGTCACATTTCTCTGACTCTACTTTTGGGGGAGGGACCCGAGACTCCCGGTTCCAACTTTGCCGGGATCCTCGGCTCGACTGCGGCGGCTCGCCTTTCCCGCTCGCTCGGTCTGCGCCCTCCCAGCGCCCGGCGCCCCGCTCTTGCCCACCCGCTGTTTGCTCTGTTTATTTTGGATAAAGCGCCGTCTGGGCGCGATCCGGCGAAGCGGCGGACTCCCCCCGGGAACAGGGGCAGACCCTGGGCTCCATCCAAGTTCCCCTTCTCGAGCCTCCTCCGGGTTCCCCTCCCTCCCGCTCGCCCAGCGCACCTTCCTTGCATTTGTGCTCCGCGAGGATAAACCTACGAGCCTGTGTTTGGTAGGTGATGGTGCCAGTTACTGAGGAAGCCTCCAAAGAATTTGGTTTTCCGTCTGGGAGGCGGATCGAGCTGTGCGGGAGTCTGGATTTGGGAGGCCGCGAGGGCCCCCACAGGCTCGCCCACCGGCCTCGGGGCCGGGCTCTCTCTTGAGAGCACTTTCCCACCTGCGCGCCCCTCACCAAACCTTGCTCCAGGCATAACGGGATGAAAGGAAAGTTATCTGTTCTCAGGAAACGTGGTCAAAAGGCATCTAAAGTTGCAAAACAATACGAAACACCTGCAACTCATTATGAGCTCAGTCCCTCTAGAACAAAGGGTGTTCTAGCCGCTGGTACCTGGAATTACTTCATCCCCTTGTAGTCAGAAATTGCGTAAGGTGAGCGACTGAAAATTTGAGGGTGTTAAGAGAATCCTTTGTGAATTTTATGTAAAGATGTTTTGAAACACATTTCAACATCCTTTGAAAGTATCTAATAAACTTTAAATGCGAGGTTGTTGAACATCCATTATGCCTCAACAAAGTTTTTAAAGGTCTTTCATCTTTTATTTATTTTTTATTTTTTTTAAAGATTTTATTTA